TATTCGTTAAAGTAGTATTTATTAAATTATTTTCATATAATAAATGTTCGGGGGTCAATGAACAATCTGAAACTTCATGAAGAGGTGAAGAGTTTGGGGACTCCTGGTCTAAAGTAATGGAAGCAATCAGTTGCAACCCCCTGGACCACGATGTTCTGCGTTCCTGTCAACTAATGAAAATGGTAGTAGTATCCATGCAAAGTCTTTTTTTTTTTTTTGCTCATACAAGTTACAAACATGGTAAAAATAAACCATAAGTAAGTTTGGCCCTCCTCTGTTAGACATTACTCTGGTAAATCAAGAATGGAAGTAAAAAATGTCTCAGCTGAGCAAATATTGGTTTACACAATCCTTTCATTTATATATGAGGTACACAGCCCTAGGCAGTTTTCTCTCTCAAAATTCTTTTAAAGCAGAACAACATCCATTAAAATGTAAGTTTCAAATGAGACAGAACAAGATAATGAAGCATAAAAGCAAAGAGGTTGGATGGCTCTCATGCTTTCGATCATGTTTGCAATTGCCTCCCCAGTAATAAAGACTGGAAGAGTTTGAAACTCTCTACCAAAAGATCATTTTTAGAAATTACCTAGGCAGGGTAAAAGCCATGCCCTGACATTTGTTTCTTGTTTTGTAATATGGCATGTCAGCTTCAAATTACACAAAAGGGAGAAAATAATTATTTGCAATCTGTGCATGTGTGTTCCTTACACTCTTGCAAGTCTGATGTGTAACTGAATATATTTGCATGTGACATACAGCCTTCAGTAAAAATGGGGAAATATTTTATGCCCAACTGGTTTCAGTGGGCAAGATTGAAGCACAAACTCCATTAAGATCAATGAGGCTTAAAACTTTGGCTAAATTCTTTCCACTTGCTTGGGTCTTTTAAGTAGCCAGTTTCAGAGAATATCCTTTTCCTCTACCCCAGATTATATGAACTACAAGCAGCATGACCTAAGTAACCATTTAACCTGTTCCACTGCAAATATTGTTATTGCCAAAGACCTCACTTGGAGTTTTTGTCATTACTTGTTTTTATCCTAATTTTTACAGCAGATGGTTCATAGGTTCTGTTTCTGGTTTTCTTCAGGCAAGAAAGAAACACGGAGAAGAGAAATTTGCATTTTTCAGACAAATGATAAAAAGAGCAGATTGGAAAAGCAACTGTATGATCTATTTATTTAAATGAACATTACACAATTTAAAAGGTGAAGCTGAAGAAGAATTACATGTATAATCTAATAATATTTTAAATTGTTTAAGTAAGGAGGAGAGGTGTTTAACCATTGACTTCCTCATTGTTTTTTTCTGATCAAAATAAGTTCTCCAGCAGGTTATTTGTCTTGTAGGTGGGAAAAACATTCCTTTCAAGCCAAATAGCATTGAGGATGAGATTTTTTGAGGAAAATAAGAATGATAGCTGCTTGACTTGACTGCCTGTGGGGTTCTTCCAGGGCCAGGCCAAGAAAGGCTGAGCATCTTCTCCTGGGCATTTTACAGTTTTCTTTTTTTAAAAAGTATTATTATACAGGTAGTCCTCAACTTATGACCATTAGTTTAGCGACCATTGAAATTCAACAAAGTTACAATGGTGAAAAAAGTGACTTACAACTGGTCCTTGCACTTATGACTGCTGCAGTGTCCCCTTGGTCACATGATCAAAATTCAGGCTCTTGGCAACTGGCATGTATTTACGACTGGCATGTATCCTGGAGTCACGTGATTGCAATTTGGGTGCTTGGCAACTGTTGCGCATTTATAATGGTTGCAGTATCCTGTAGTCATGTGATCACCACTTGTAGCTTTCCCAACTGGCTTCTGACAAGCAAAGTTAATGGGGAAGCTGGCAGGGAAGGTCACAAGTTGTGGTGATGTGATGTCTCACTTAACAGCCGTGGCAAAAAAGGTTGTAAAATTGGATCTAGTCACATGATGCCTCACTTAACGACTGCACCACTTAACAGCAAATTTTCAGGTCCCTATTGTGGTTGTAAGTCAAGGACTACCTGTAGTTCCCATATTACATTTGGAATAGTAGCACTGATAAAGAGGATAGTCGAGAATAAAAGTTATTAATGTATTTTATTGCTTCTCTTGTTTTTACTGTTTTAAATAATTGTTTAAACAGCCCAGAGAATTCCAGTCATTGGTCAGATGAGAATGTTATTAATACTAATAATAAGACAACCCACTGCGATCTGCAGTTTAACACTGGCACAACAGAGCACTGTCCCAAAGCAATTCCACTGCAACCCAAATATATCAGTCCAAATAACCACAATACACTATTTCTTTAAAAAAATAAAGTTCTTTTATTATTAAAAAACTCTAGCCATTCTTCACTTTTCTTGTAAACAAGTACATTTGCACCAACTAGCCATATCCCAACTTCCTGAGAAAGAGCTCCAAAGGGAAGGCCAGTTTGTCCGCATAGTTTCACAGCTGCAGTTCAGCCACAGTCTTGACAAGTCCTTTCGGGCACAAAATAATTCCAGAGCCTGCTGTGGAAAATGAATGTAGTACAAAGACCAAGTTGTGGCAACAGCATTAGAAGTCATTCAAAAGCCTAAGGCAACAGACTCCATTGATCAAGCAACTTTTCGTGCCACCCAAAGCTGCATCTGTGTGAACAATACCCCAAAGAGGTGACACCGGACGGAATTGTCTCTGGCGAAGCCGAGTAGAAGGCCAACACACCAAGCACCAAGCTTCTCCAGGAGCAGGGGCGCAGCAGGAAGTTCCATCCATAAAGGGCAATGTGGAGTGTAAACAGAAGATCTGATCTAGAAGGGAAAATAAAGCATTATCATCATGTCAACATTTAGAATTTATAATATAAGGAGCCATCAAAAATCTGAGGATGAGCTTGGTTCAAGGTCTGGTGAATAACCATTCATGGCCTTACAGGCCACCTACCCTAACTTTAAGTACAAGGCAAGGCCAGGAGTATGTGCAGTGCAGATTGCTGCTGCCCGGTCCAGGACCTTCACTGTTGCTGCAGCAAGCGGGCTGAGGAGAGCTCCAAGGATTGGCTTGTTTTTCTTGCTTTCTAGCCTGGTTTGTGTGCTATGTCCCTGGAGCTGGTGTAAGCGGCTTAATCCCCGAAGAGAAGTTTCTTGATGCCTACTGGAGAGCTTTACCCCACCCCAGCAAATAAGCAGATGGGCAATAGAGTCCAAATATTTACACCATCTTTCGCTGTTGACTTTTGCGTCAAAGAGGTAAAGACAACTTGGTTTCACTATTGTCCCTCTGAGCCATTCTGTATGACTTTCAGACTTTGTGTTAGTTGTAAAGTGGCTCAGCAACAGACATAAAACAAGGTCAGCTATTTTTTCACTCAAGGAGTTTAAAACTCAAAAACTTTAATTAAAGTAGGCAGTTTAATTCACTGGGCAATCAGCTTGGCAAAAAGCTTATCAGTATCTGTGTACCTTTCTTGCGTTGAAAGGGAGTTCACTCCAGATCTGCTTTCATATGTAAATGTCACTCGGCCCCAAGATGAAACTTTCCCAATATTTCTTAGATAGGTGGCAAAATAGGCATAGATTTATTTATTTTTTAAAAAGCATGAAAGTAAGAAGAGTTTGGGAGAAAAGGAGGCAGTGAGAAAAAGTTGTAGAGGTCCAGAATTGCTAAAGTTCTCTCCATTATAGGCAGAGTTGGCCCCGTTCTTAGACCAAGTGAAGCAACTGTCTCAGTTGGCAAATACTGAAGGGTAGCGCTCCAGCCATTCCTACTACATGTCCCCCCCTCCCCTACACACAATCCTCCTTTCTTGGACAGAGCTGTGTGCACTCTCTAGGTTTTTCTGCACCCGCTAAACCAGCCTGCTCCCCTGAGGTGCCTCAGTACAACATTCAACTCTCAATCCAGCTGAATTCACTATTCCAGATCAATGGGAATGCTATGTTGCCTTTTGCCTCGGGCAACAAAATGTCTTGGGCCCATTCTGATTATAAATATGATCCTGTAATGAACAGAACAACCCCTTTCTTGAAGAATAATTTACAGAGATGGAAATCTCTACCTCCTGCAGAGAATTCAGATAATATCCAGCCAGACTTGCTGTCTCATTCTTTTATATCTGCGCATTATTTTGTTAATGCTTCACAATACCTTTAACACCAAAACGACAGAGAAGAAAAATGGTTGGCCAGGTGGCTTATCTTCTCCCTTAGAGTCAGACTAGATCTTTCAGTGGTAAAATTCAACTTGAATTGAGCCAAGTCTCCCTAAAGGCAGGGGAAAATAAAAGTAAAATGCAGAATAAGTAAGCAAGATGGAGGTGCTTTCCTACCATGATATCCCACGACCAATGGTTAAAATGTGGGACTGAAACTCAGGAGACCCTCAGCCATAGCAAGTGGACTTTGGGTCAGCCACTCTTTGTCAGCCCAACCTACCTCACAGGCTTATGATTCTGCAGATAGAATGGACAGAGTGTGTAATCTACCTAGAGTTCTGGGAGAAAAAAGTTGGGTAGAAATCTAAAATCTTCATCATCTAGTTGAAGGGAGCACTTTCATTTTTGGACAGAAAAACAGCCAGAGAAAAAAGTTTGGGGTGACAATGTAGACAAAGAGAAAATTCATATAATTTTGATAGTAGCCTTTTATATATGAGTCTGTTGCCATGATGTCTGGACCCGAGCAGTCTTCTATGACCATTTACAGAACCTCTGGGGAACAGCACAGGGAAGCAAAAAGCTTTGCACACAAAAGGGGAAAAAAGGTTTGTTTGGTGCTCAAGGGAGAGCAGTTCCACACAGTGTGCTGTCTGAGTGCTTTAATTCTCTAATGTAATTGCAGCCTGTAATAGGGTGGTAGTGCAGCAAATGGGGAAAAGCGGCAGGGAACATCAGTGGAGTGACTGAAGCCAAAGGCTGGGTAGCAGATCAGCACCAAAGGGGGTCTATGCAAAAGTATTTATAGTCATGCATTCTAGCACAACTCCATGCTAAGTGTGTGTGTAATTAATATTAAGTATATTATAATGACATTAAAATGTGCACAATTCCTCTTGTCCTCTGTATTACGGCTCTATTTCCCTAAAAATACAGGTATACTGAGTACCTCTTTGTAGGATTCGGATTCTGGTGCTTAGGGAGAAAGACACAGCTATGTTGAGTTACAAGCAGAGCTTAATGCAGCAGCTCAACCAATGATTGTCTGCTGAAGCATGCCTCTGGCTGGCTTGAAACGTGTCCAAGTGGTAAAAGAAGCATGACTTACAGTTCCTCCCTTGCCCTTTGTGGATTTGGAGCAAAAGGAGGGGAAGTGTGGACTGTTGTTGCAAAGGAGCATGTGCTCTATTCTCAAGACTTTCAGAAAATAATTGAACTCATCCCTTTGCCTGATGACACTTTGGGTGACTGTTGCAAGCAGCCCTTTGACAAACTATGAGTAAACAAAAAAGAGGATGGTTATAACCATAAAGACTATTCTAAGCTTACTGGGATGATGGAATAAGTAGTCCAACTCATCTGTAAAACATCAAGGCAGGCTGGATTATTCAGTATTTTTCCTCTAAGTAGAAGGTAAAGATTCTGTCTTTCTTAGAATATGGATTTAATCAATAAGAAGAATTTAATATCCACGTTTAATGTCACAATTACAGCATTAACATCAATCTGTTTCCATAGACAGATCACTCTCAGATTGCCCTTTGGCTCACTGGTATCACCCCTCCCTGCACAGAAAGAGGGCTCATTTGATTGGCCACCAGAAGGGTCCCCAGGAAAATCTACAGAGCTGCTGAGCGCAAAATTCAGGCTATCTGGTAGATAAAATAATTCAGGTCCACTCCAACTTGAACTCTGACTGGGCAGGTCTGGCTGAAGTACCTGGAACCTGGTTTTGTGGTATGATCTGGGAAGAATTTGAACAGGTGACTCCTAAGGAAATAGACAGGGTTCATCCACATCTTTGTTGGACTCGGGCCCCTTGTGGGGCATGGGGGTGATCTGAGTTAGGTCCATGCTATGGTATCAGCCTCTCTGAGGAAAGGGGTGGTGCCTCCAGCCTTGAAAGAGGTCATGGTGAGCTCCTTCCTCAAGAGGTTGTACTTGGGCCCAATGCTTTTAGATAAGTATCTACCTGTGTTCAACGTTCCCTTTTTAAGGAAGGTTGTTGAGAAGGTGATTGCAGCTTGTGAAGCACACCCGCTTCACAAGCTGCACTGCTTGTCCATTTGCTTCTGTGTGCGATTCAAGGTGCTGGTTATGACCTGCATGGCATAGGGCCTGGTTGCTTAAGGGACTGCCTACCTCCTGTGGTATCAGCCTGGCCAGATCAATCCAGGGTTGGTGTGCCCTGGGTCCTTTCAATTAAAGAGTGTCATCTACTGGGACCCAGGAAGCGTGCGCTCTCTGTCACAATGCTGCTCTCTGGAATGAGGTTCCCCCTGAAATCTGTGTGGCTCCACCTTGATGGCATTCCAGAAAGCCTTAAAGACCTGGGAGTTCTTCCAGGCCTTGGGTTAGGGTAGTTGAGGACCCTGTTGGATTTGTTTGAGGATGTCAGTATTGTTAGCCTGACTTTCTTGTTCTTTATTCCTTTCTTATTTCTTTTTTATAATTATTGTATTGTATTTTCTCTTCTGTTTGGTTTTATTGTGTACCACCCAGAGTCAGTTTGGAATCGGGCCTAAATTGAATAAATTAAATTATCCATAAGATACTGAATGCAATGGTCTTGCTTAGTTAGGGCTGAAAAGTCACAGACCACTTGATTCTTGAATAATAGCTTCAGGACCACTGTAGTTAGTAGTTACTTTTTTATTGTTGTTAATTCTGAAATCATGCCATAGAGAAAGAGTATATAAAGTACATGGAAGAGGGAATAAATCCCTCAGTCTGTCAAGAAAATGTAATGTCTTTAATTCTCTTGAAGCAAGTGGCGGGGGCGGAGGGCAGGGAGAGCAGAAGAAAGAAGGAGGCCACAATTCTGCACAACCTGGGAAACAGCAAGCTCCAGTTGGCAAGCAAGCTCCCTTACAAAACACGCTATGCTCTATCTCTGGGGTGGAACCTGACAACAGAAAGTTATCTGTATATATATATATACTGCATTGACATGATTCATACAGACCTAGACCTTTTATTTTATTTCATCACTGCGTGAAGAACAAATATAAGAAATAAAAAATGAAAGGCAAATAGTACGTCCCACTCCAAGAGTTCAGTAAAGATGATTGATTAGGTATTTCTGCATTCTTCACTTCCAGCATTCCCCCCACTCAAAACAGCCCATATTCCAAACACTGATATAACAGGAACTGCCTTCTATGGATTCTATGCAATTTAAAATAAAGAGATGAGAATTATCCATAATTTTAATAGTAATTTGATTAAAAATTATGATTACAAAGATAAAAACTAATACTAACTAAAAAAAATAAAAGAATAAAAAGAAAAAATAGAGAGTGCAAGAGGAAAAAATAGAAAGAAAAATAGAAAAGAAAGAAAAAAATCAGAGTACAGTATAGTAAAGAAAAAGAAAAGAAATATATTAAGAAATTACTTCATCACAAGTATAAACAATTTTAGTAACTTATCATCTTCTCTTAAAATACAACGAATGATCTCTTCTTCCCATATCTCATCTCTTATCTATAAACAAATCCTTAAAATCTCGTCATTTCAGTCCTAATTGGCAAAAGTCCATTAAGGGTTACCAAAGATAACAACATATCTATCTTAACCCTGATCAAATAAACCAACTTTATATTCCTTCCTTCTAACAATATTGATCTTTAGTTCCTTGAAATAATGTCCTAGAACTTGATTTCTTTTCATTTTTTCTTTGTCCCTTCTCACAAAATTCTTCAAAGCTTTAACAAGCCTCTTTATATTGATCTTTAGTTCCTTGAAATAATGTCCTAGAACTTGATTTCTTTTCATTTTTTCTTTGTCCCTTCTCACAAAATTCTTCAAAGCTTTAACAAGCCTCTTTATATTGATCTTTAGTTCCTTGAAATAATGTCCTAGAACTTGATTTCTTTTCATTTTTTCTTTGTCCCTTCTCACAAAATTCTTCAAAGCTTTAACAAGCCTCTTTTGTAAATCCAATATAGGAAAATTATCCAGGTCACTCTCTTGGTTTGTTATTTGTACATCACTTTTAATTATTAAGACATCAGCTGGTTTCAGTTGTATATCCATTGTAGCATCTTCTTCCATATCATTCTTGTAGCCTGTCATTTTTAAATCCACTTTCAGATCAGTCTCAATCTTGTCTGCTAAAACTTGTTCCTCTTCCAAAACATCTTTTAAACACAGTCTCTCTATAGAGGCAACACTCTTAAAATTAACTTCTGGGTCCATTGTTCACAAATATCCTCAATATGTCCAATGTTGTAATGGTGGGAAAGACCTTGGGAGAGGGGGTGAAGAGACCAAGGGAATGCCAAGGGAATGATCAGATAAGAGACAGCATGTCCTCCAACTGAATAGTGGGGAGGGCAAGAGGCTCAGAAGAGACCCTCTCAGGCTGTAAAGGAGATGGGGGGAGGGGATTGTACTTGAAGGAAACTCAGTTGAAGGGAACTTACCCGGTGCTGTACAACTTTTCAGATTGAAGGAAACTCACCCAGTGCTGCAAAAGTTGTTGATCCAAAGGTTCCTAATAGCTGAAAAACAGTTAACAAGCAATTTCCAAAAGTGATTAGAAAAGGAAGTATGTGAACCCAGTGTCCTTTTGAAGGCACCGACCATAGTTTGAGCAAGATGGCTGTTCCGTCCTCTCCTAGAGCTCTAAACCTGCTGGAGATGCTGTCTTGCAGTCTCATCATGAGGAGCAACTGTCTGGAGCACTCTCAAGTCCTCTCCTTGTCTAGAGAGGAACTAGAAAGAGCTGGTCCACTTGCTGGATCTTCATTCTGCTGTAGTCATCAGCTCCACCTCAGTTTGCCATTCTTCCCCAGAAGTCCAGAATTATCCACAATCAAAGATTAGATTCAAAATGGATTTGTATACATCATTTGTACTTTTCCTAGTTGAGGTGCAATATTCTCTTCATCTAACCCCAGGACTATTCACGTTTTGAGGTTAAAAAATAATTCTGGAAGACTAAAGGTTATTAACAGGACAGCTGCTTACAGAGAACATCTGATTAAACCAAGCGTGACCTCCATCACACTGAGCAACACACGACTGAGGAACAGGCAAGGCCCAGCAGAGTCGTACAGAAACAGGAAAGCTGGCCCTCAATTTGCAATGCACAGCTGAAAGAGCTCTGTGCTTTCTTCCCAGAGGCAACGGAAACTTTCAGGAGCAGGATGAGAGATGCAGTCACTTCTCAGAAGCTGATCCTTCCTTGGGAGCAATGCCAATGGTACTTGTGGGCAAAAATGTACTGTGCTAGACAAAACATGAAGTAGCGGGAACAGGGCATAATCAACAGACCATGGAACACTGCTTATTGTAGCAGAGGATTAGCAATCTTTTGAGCAATGTCAGCTCCTACCTCCATCTTCTACTCTCAATCCCATCCATTATTTCTTCTGAATCCACTGGGATCCCTTGTGTGCTCCCCAGGTTAACAAAGTTAAAAAAAAAATCTTACTAATTTGGAAAAAGGAGAAGCAGTACAGTGCAGTATTAGGAACAGCAGAAACATCACTGCAAAGCAATTGAGGCTCTACAAACCGACCAGATATTCAAGAGTTGAGTTATGTCCAGGGCCACTGCCCTTTCGAATAGTTTGAAGCTAGACCAAAGCCCCCCCCCCAAGAAAAAAGTAACTTGTGTACCTAGATATATTACAGCTTAAAGAATAAAAGTAGGACAGGAACACTGTGAAGGCTGTGTGTGTCTGACACTTGAACTGAACACTGGGTTCATGCATCACACCACTGGCTCTTCTTCATGGCTCAGCTGAAATGCTATCCACCAGTTTTTGAGTCAGCAGACAATTTTACCGACATATTGGCAATCCCTCTCCCTGCCATAGGCACAGTACTGGCAAATGGTGCAGTCCTCATTTACTGTGTACAAGTCAACTGGTGAATTTCTGTTTGCTTTCCCTCCCACCAATATCACCAAACAACCATCATGAAAACATCCAGTAATCACACTCTTTAATAAGGGATGGGGCTGAGGCAAGTTCTGACAGATGGCAAGATGATGAGTTTAGCCATCTGTTTTGCACACATATTTTGCACGTGTGCATTCAGAGGAAAGAGTCTGAAACCTGGGTTCAAAAGCAGCCTGAACAGCTGAGAAGCACAAGGGAAATCAACCAGTGGAGCGGCAGGGAACAGTCTTCTTCTCTCCCACTTAAACATGCACTGACCCCCTGCCACCACTTCCGGACAGCTGCTCTAGGTCTCTGAGCTGGAAACGCTTGGAGATTTGGAGGATATAGGGAAGAACCCAGTTTGAAGGAAGCAATCTCTCTCCTACTGCCCAAAGCAGAGGGCCAGACTGGGGTGGGCTGGGGGCTTGCCTGCATTAACCAGGAGGGCTTTTGCACAGCTTTGGGTTGTGCACCAGTTACGCCCCTTCCTGGATCGGGATGCCCTTCGAATGGTCACTCATGCCCTTGTTACCTCCCAGATAGACTACTGCAATGTGCTCTACAAGGGG